TTTCGCGATGAAATTTTCCCGACCTTTTCACAAGAAAGGTGATATTTAGCGATTCGGCATAAAACACCCCTGGATGGGACTAAGACATCCATCGCGCGCGAATTTTTCGCAGGAACTGGCCGTTCACCCCGGCCGAATTAATTGTAGACTTCGGGAATTTTCCATAATAAAATTTCCCGACCTATTCGCAAAAAATATATATTTTTGGGATTCTCAGCAAAACACCTCCCGGACAGGAGTAATAATTAATGTTGAATTTCACGCATTGCCACTCTCTCAGGGCAAATGATCGGTAAATTCCTATCAGACTACGTTGAGTCGTAATATTCGTTTTATTATTTGTATATTTTTCAGCATTTATCTTTATATTTCTAGTGGAATGGTTATTTTATTATTATTGCAATATTTTCAATTGTATACATTTTACAGCAGTTATTTGGGAATTGTAGTTTGCCGACCATCGAAGTTCAACAGATTTTATTGACCATTGTGTCGAGTTTCATTCTAATATTCAGTTTCTTCTATTCGATTACGTATTTAAGTTAACGAACGACGTTGGTAGTTTCTCTTTTTAAAAAGATGCCTAAAATTTGTATTTACACTTTATTAAAAAGAACTTCAAAATTATTATAATTATTAACTAAGAGTAAAAACAACTTGACGTTCGCGAATTAAGTATTACAGCAATATGCCATGCACTTGAACTGCGATACATTAATTAATTAGGAAGGCTAAAACAAAGCTTATACACTGCACAAGAAATAGTCTACTTTGCACATTATTGGGAATTAGTTGTCGGTGTGAGAACGCGCTGATTACTATCTATTCACATCGATAACTTTTATCCCAATAAAGTTTAATTGGCTTTTCCCTTGGGTTATGCCACCTTTTCAGGCTTTACATAAAGTATTTCTCGACTAAAAGGTTTAAAAAAAAAGTACTCGGCATAAAAATAAAGTATTTTATTTTTTGTTTTTAAAAACATATTTTTTGTTACACCTAGCAGCCAGTAACAAATTGCTGTCGCTCTTAAATACATTAATAGCCTCTAAACATGGCAAACAAAGATTTAAGTAAACTAAAAGTTCATTTTTAATTAGTTTTAATGAAGCTTTATTCCTGTCGTCCCGCCACTTTGCGTTCATAACAGAGAATACTCTTTCTGTAAATGCTGAAGTGGCCGGAACGGACAGCAAAAGTGACACTACTTTGAACAGATTTGGGAAATCAGGTTGTTCCGTAAATATGGCTTGCCATTTTTCTGTGCAATATTATTGATATAAAAGTACTCTGAATTTCGAATAATCGCTTACAAAATTACGATGTTTACTAAAGGCCTTAAATAAAGTATTTTTGCGTACTTTATGTGTCTTGTAAAGTATAACGTACGCACAATCGAAATAGAGTACAATACTTTACAATAAAGTATAAAGGCAAACGGCAAATTTCCGAAGACGCCTTGCACGTGTGTTAGTACCACAAGTACCGGTTAATGCCCTTCTGTTACTCCCACTATCTTTCTACCCCTCTGTATTTCTGTCTTCCTTTCATAACAAATCAACCATCTTATATTTCTTCTTCAACCAATCAACCTTTTCAAATTTGAATTTAATTTCACCCCCAAACTATTTCCTCCACTTTTCTATTCTTCCAATTTTCAAAAGTTCAGTCATTTTTAGTGAGTTGCAATTTGGTCTTCAGTCTATTCGATCATTCGCTCTTTCGGTTCGTTTTCTATTTCCATTCATTTCCAATTTTATACAGTCCACTCTACATAAGTTAAGTTTTTTGTTATCCATTTGTTTTTGTTAAAGTGTTTGTTAAGTGTTATTAATAAATAGTTCAAAACCAAGTGCATTTTATATCAACAATTACATTTGCGTAATTCTAAAAAGTGACCCCTACAGAAAAGTCGTCAAACTACGGCGACAACAGACTAATTTTTTAACAAAAATTGCCGTAGGTGTTTTGCTAACTGCTTTAAGTTAGCAATCTTTTTTATTATTATCCTTCGAAAGATTTTTTGATTCGACCAAGTGGTCTTGCTAACTTTACACGCGTAAAATCAGAGGTGAGTTTACCAATCGAGACATTTACCGCTACTGATAAAATAACACAAATAGCATTCCAAACAGTCATCGGAAATACAGTGGAGAAAGGAACGGAATCGATAATGCGCTCTTTCTGGATTTTTTAGTCTAGTGAGGTTTACAAATTTAGAAATCAATGGAATGCGCAAACACAGGGTGATTCCCGCCACTCAAGGAGTGTACTGTAGAGGTCATTTGAAATAAAAAAGTTCAAGGGTTCGATTTTCAAAAATAAGCTATTTATTTTTCGATTTTGAACCACTACAAACTTCCTCAAGCTAATGAGGAAAATATTTTTTGTTGCTGTTGTTGCCCCCTCCCCCCCCCCCCCGGGAATCGAACCCGGGACCTTTGGCTTTACGCACCAATGCTCCGACCAACTAAGCAACGAGAAATGACAACAGCAACCACGACAAACTTGGCCTACTCGGTTAACGATCCGTCGATTTTTATTATTAACGTAATTATAAGTATATACTAGATGTATGAAACATCAACTTGAAATCACTTATCGATTTGGAACCACTACAAATTTTCTCAAATTAATGAGGAAAATATATTTTTTTTGTTGCTGTTGTCACCCCCCGCCGGGAATCGAACCCGGAACCATTGGCTTTACGCACCAATGCTCTAACCAACTAAGCTTAGTAGCAACAAAAAAAAACATTAATTTGAGGAAATTTGTAGTGGTTCAAAATCGAAAAGTGATTTCAAGTTGATGTTGCATATTAACATTGACCACTATTAGTAATTAATAAAACAATGTCTTAAGTTATTTATGACGAATTATAAATTTTACGTTTTTATTTTTGAATTATTTAAACTCACAATCAATTTAATTTACAAAACAGAAAATTACATACACAACAACAACTACAAACACAATTAAATCAATTACACTACATCTCATAATAAATTTTCAAAACGTCCGCCACCTACATTAATGCACTTAGCTACGCGCTTTTGCATCGGAGTCCGGATATCTAGCGGACTAATAAATTACTTTACCGCGACCTATTCAGTGGCCAGAGTAGTGTTGATTATGATAGGAGATCACTAATTGTTAAGGCTACATTTTTCATAACATGCGGCAGTTCTTCATCTGAGGTAGATTGCCGAATTAAGGCGACTCTCAAAAATAAATAGTTCAATCAAATGGTTGTCCATTATTCAGTGCCACACATTGGCACTAGTAAAACCGTACAGAAAGTTACTCAACGGTACCTTTGGATTTAAATCAGGCTAAAGGTGCTCTATACACTTCATGAACGTAAAATTGGTCATAACTCGCTTATTTTGGAGAATCCGACTCATGCTAAAATGAACTTTTTTGCTTAAGGACGTTCCCATTTGTATCGTCTAGAACTGATGAAGGTGAAAAGATATCATTACTAAAGTGATTTTAAAAAAAAAGCCAAATTATTTATTTAGTTTCGGTAATATAAAGTTATACTTATATAATATAAATACATTTTTTATCATTTTATATAATTGTTCATTTTTATTATTATCAGTCAATAAATATTTAATTTCTTTCTAATATAAACAGTGTATTTTATTTTCTATTATGTTTTTTAAGTCTATGAATTTATTAAAAAGTAGAACTCATGTTTTTTCAACTAAACATTTTTATTCAAAATAATAATGAACTGAATTATAATCAATATTATTAGTAATTGTAATATTAATAATAATCGAGTAAATATTAATAGTAATTTTAATATTGTTAAAAGAAATCAGAAATGAAAACACGCAGGTTCTACAGTTTAGGATAACCAACAAACGTCCCGCGCTGTTGCAGCGTAGCCAAGTCGCATACTACTGATCACCTTATGCAGGAGAGTCTGAGTCTGAGATTTACTTTACACATTGTTTACAACAAAATAAATACCGCTTCTTGTACCTATGTTGTATGGAAATTATTTATGTAAATATTATCTGCCTATTCTCGAAATTTAAAAAAAATTGTAAGAAAATTAAACTTGTTACACATTAAAACCTACACGAATAAGTATGAAATGTATAAATTAACATACGTTCAAATAGAAATTTAAAATGGTAATATTTTCAATGTTAGTACCGCAAAACGGGTGGCAATTTTTCGTATGCGTTCAGAATACAGGCAGGTATTTACAATTAAATTTTAAAGATGATCGTAAGAAAAATTTTTTTTTGGGAACGTCCTTAAAATGACTTCTAATACATACTCCTTGAGTTGGGGAAAACGTCGTGAATAACCCTGTATATGCAGTTTATATACGTTTTCAAGTGGACAGAAAGTCGGAACATCGACAAAAAACTAAAATTTATGGCCGGAAGCATTCAAGTACAGTAATGGAACGAGAAGGTAGACGCCGACAGTCTTTCAAAGAACAATTTCTTTGATGAAAATCTCATCAACCTGGTGGACTTTCCTCGCATCACCAATATGAAAGCTCATCAAGAGTTTTCGGTCTTTAGAAATAGTTTTTTGTCGAAAATAGCTAAAGTAAAGTTCTTCTTCTTCTTCTTCGAAATGATTTTTAAAGATCAAACTCATCTTTTGGTAGGTAGTACTTTTACGAAGTAAACAAAGAAACACAATAGTAAAAACCAATTCAAACAGGATCGTTTATTGCTTGATAACATAAGCCACTACCACTTGTTGACTCTCGAAAATGCAGGATTTCGCCGATAACCGCGCAACCGCCGGTTGCTCCGAAAACTTATGCTTAGTACAAGGAATCAAGTTATTATTCGTGGCTTGTTGCTATATCATCTGATTTTAAAAAATCGGATAACCTATAAAATCTAACATCAATTCTAACGATTGTGAGATGGCGTATTATTGCAAATTATTTGTATTATTATCAGTAGTGACGTTAAAACATGATTAATTTATATAAAATTGACAAAACACCAATGTCTTACCTGCTATCCTAAGTACTGCTCTATCAGCACTATCCAACGCCAAAACTGCCAGGGGTTGTTCTCTGGTCCATTCTTGCAATGTTGGATCTTTGTCGAAATCCATTTTATTCTTTCATATTTTCCTCTAAAAAAAAACAAACTTGTAGATTTCATAAATTTATTACATTTCCAAAAAAATGACTAGGTAGATAATCTTATAACTAATGCATAAATAAATTATTATATGTTAAAAAAAGCTTTGTGCCAAAAATGAATTGCTAAGAAATCACCTATAATTTATGGGTTTCGAGTTTCGTTTATTATGAATTTTTACCTTGATAAAGAATTAAGGAATTAACATTTATATTATTGTTAGATAAGAAACATATTAAAGTATTATCAATTCCATTGTGTGGTCCAGGTAACAAATTAAAATATGCTACATTTGTATCCGTTATGCGCGATTACTGACAGTTAAGTAATATGTTACGTAACACTAAAAAGTAAAAGTGATTTTGAGGTATTTTGTGGGACATAACGAACCTTTTTAGGTAAAAAATGGACACTAGGGTGTTACGTAACGTTGGGAGGGGGATGTATTTTTGAAAAACATGCTCTATAACAAAGATATGGGGATTACTCCCTGGCTGTTCTTAGCTTCTTTTGTTTTGACGTTTAACACGACCTCTAACCCTTCCTGAGTCACCCCATTTTGGCCTTTCGTATTTATGTTTGTTGGCAAGCTTTCCGACTTCGAGTTANATTCGATGCATTTCTGAAGAAGAATGGTATTAGAAGAAGGCTGACGGTTCCGCATACACCTCAGCAAAATGGCATCGCAGAGCGGAAGAACAGGACCTTATTGGACATGGCACGATGTATGATGCGGCAAGCCGAGTGTCCACCTACCTTTTGGGCTGAGGCGGTTAACACCGCAAATTACATTCGAAATCGGTGTCCTACAGCAGCATTAAAGGGACAAATACCGTTTACATTATGGAAAGGGAAAACCTCCACAGTTGCTTATATGCAAGTATTCGGTTCAAAGGTATTCTACAAAGATAAGAGTCCAAATAAAGGCAAATTTGACTCACGTTCCGAAGAGGGCATTTTTATGGGTTACGATTTGGAATCCAAAGCATATCGTATTCATGACCCAAAAACTAAGAAAATTATTGTAAGTCGAGATGTCAAATTTATGAGCGAATCAGCATTTAGACATGAATACAAAGAAATTCTTGAAGAAACCGTTAACGAAAATGAAGTTCAAGTTGACATAAACGAGATTACTGAAGAAGCACGAGAAGATGCGTTATCCCCAAAGGGAGAAATATCAGATAAAGAAGATTCAAGGAAAAGTCTAGAAACTCCAAAACGAGGAAGAGGACGCCCGAAATTGGTACGTAGTGGAACAGTAGGAAGACCACGCAAGCAGTATCAATCTACAACATATGATGAAGCTAGAAAAGACAGCGAAGAAACTAGTGAAAATGAAGAAGATTCAAGAAAGTCCATTACATCAGAAGACGACATATTAAGTGCCTACATGGCAACAGACGAACCAATATTATGGGATGAGGCAAAAGTAACAAATGAAGTGAATATATGGCAAACTGCTATTGAAGATGAATTTTTAGCTCAGATTAAAAATGGTACATGGGAAATTGTGTCACGACCCCAAAATCGAAAAGTTATCGGGAATCGTTTTGTATTCAGTACAAAAACCATAGATAATCAGGAGCGCAAGAAAGCCAGACTCGTGGCAAAGGGCTGCTCACAACGGCCAGGGGAGGATTTCCACGAAACCTATTCTCCCGTGGTAAGATCCTCATCAATTAAACTACTAGCTGCAGTTTCAGCGGAATTGGGTCTAGAAATCCATCAGATGGATGTCGTCACTGCATACCTGAATAGCGAATTAGAAGAGGAAGTTTACATGGAAGTACCAAACCAACTTCGCGAAATTTTAGATAAAATAATTGTGGCCAAAAAGGTTGGCACGTGCGGGAGTGTTATACGTGACGCGAAAATAATAAATACGAGTAAACGTTGGCGTCGAGATTTAAATAAAATAAAAGATAATGTTTGTTTACTTAAGAAATCGTTATATGGTTTACGACAGTCGGGTCTACAATGGTACAAAGAATTAGTAAAGGAACTGAAGCAAATCGGTTTTGAATCATTAGCCGAAGATCCATGTTTGTTCTCAGCGCGGAAAAATAATGAAATTATGCTAATGGCAATATATGTGGATGATATGATCATCGCCACAAAGGATAATGAATGGTTAAACGATGTTAAACGACAACTTTCAAATCGTTTTGAGATGAAGTATCTTGGAAAAATAAATCGATGTTTAGGTATCGAATTTTCTCGCGACAAAGATCACGGAGTTTATCTTAATCAGAGATTATACGTTAAAAAGTTATTAGAGCGTTTTAAGATGACTGAGTGTAAAATAGCACCAACACCTATGGAAGCAAACACAAAGCTTGCTAAACCTGAAAGTGCCAATGAAGAACTAATGAAGAAGTTCCCATATCAAAGTCTAATCGGTGCATTGATGTTTTTAGCGATATCAACAAGGCCAGACATCGCATTTTCTGTGAATTGCCTAAGCCAATTCAACACGAACTATAGTACCGAGCATTGGAAAGCAGCTAAAAGAATACTACGATATTTAAAGGGTACATCTGACTATGGCTTAAAATATCACAAAACTGGCTTGCCACTATTTGGCGTGATTGATTCTGACTGGGCTTCAAACATAATCGACAGAAAGAGTTATTCTGGAATGGCTTTTATTTTAGCCGGAGCAGCTATATATTGGGAAGCGAGAAAGCAACGATCAGTTGCATTGTCGAGCACGGAGGCCGAATTCATGGCTCTCTCTGAATCCACTAAAGAGGCAATGTATCTAAAAAGTATATTAAACACAATTGGTATGAAAAATGAGTACGTGACATTATATAACGACAATCAAGGTGCGATAGAGTTGGCAAAAAGTAAAAATTACCATCCAAGAACAAAACATATTGCAGTCCGATACCACTTCATTCGAGATGCATATGAAGAAAAGATCATTAACTTGGAATATTTATCTACAGAACAGATGCCTGCTGATGTTTTGACAAAAGGGCTAAATGGCACAAAACATAAAAATTGTTTACGTAGTCTTGGCATGACTAATGTGGAGGAGAATCAGACTGAGGGACCCATGCACAAACAAGGGCAGTCACTCACTACTTTGAGGGGAGGTGTTAAGGAAATGACCGCAAAGTCCGTGAGCGACGCCACTAATCAGGCAAGTGGTTGCTGAATTGACTTCAGGTGTTTTATCGATTTTATACCCCTTGGCGTACGTGACGAGACATGGCGAGTTAGTGTGTAAAAAGTACTGCTCGGGTTATTGTGCGCGTCGTTTGTGTTACCACGTTATCGTTATCATTTCTTTCCGTTTATTTAAACCCTTTCGTTTTATACTTATATGTATTATATTGCTTTTTATTTCTCTGTTCATCGTTTTTGGTTTATCTTGGTTTATATGTATTAAAATACAATACACAAATCCACTGCATTATTATTATTCAAATAACAACAATAATTAAAAATGTGGAACAAAAAAAGTGGAGGTGCGTGTCCAACCAGTCTCAGGACTGATGACCCTATGATGATGAATTGATTGATTCAACTTACAGAGCAAAGAGCGAGTTTCGCTTTTAATGATCAGTGCTTGGGAGAACGAAAATTGTTGTTTTATTTTCATTATTATTTCCCTGAGGTTTTGTGAGACTATCCTCAGGATAGTGACTTTCAGAAGTGAAAATGGATTTAATCAAGGTTACAGCTGATTGTATTTTTTTCGGCTCTTTTCAGTTCTAATGTCAAAAGTATGCAAACCCATATGAAAAAATTAATATGATCTTAAAGGTATGTTTCTACCAAAAATGGTATTTAATCCAATGAAATTTTACATTATTACTACAATGCATTTATTTTAACCAATACAGATAAAAGTGCATTACTAATCTTTCTAATATCCGGCATTGAATTCAGCATATGAGAGAGACAGCATCATAGGCACTTGAGCGAGTGCGATGAGGATCGGAAATTTGTACCATGTAACTTGGCATTGAATAATTTAACGAATAGTAAAAAACTTCTTATTAAACTTAAACTATTTGTGGTGTAATTTTTATAAAATTGAATGATAATCATCAAATAAATATCAATTAATAGGCAACTTACCTACTAAAGTTCAGAACATATTTTTTCAAATTGTATAATTTTTTTATTGGATACTACGAATACGTTGGTACTTATTCTATTTAAAATTATTTAAAAAATTTGAATTAAGTACTGTTTTTCTTATATATTTAAATAAAAAATTGCTTGGCAATATTTAAGACAGATATTTACAAGAATAAGGTAATTTTTCTTTGCAAATATGTAGTACTTTTCTGGACGGGTTAGGGTTAGTGTGTATTAAGATGGCTCAAAAAATACGCAATAAGTTCATTGCGACTAAACTGTAAGTTTAACCGAAAACTTGCTCCCTATTTTAATACAAGATCGTCAGTATTATCCAAATTCAATTTACTGTGCACAGTGTTCGGAAATAGAAAAATAAGGTTTCGTTTAAATAGCAACTATGTTGTTTAGAAATCTAAAATATGAGGTTATGCAAAAAATCGCGGTAATATTCAAATATTTTCTTAGAGTTAAATGGCTTAAAAAGTTCGTAATATGCTCACTGCGACCAAAGTGAAAGTTTAATCGAAATTTTTTTCAAACAGAACTATTTTAATACAATATCGTTTGTTAAACATACAGTTTGGAAGCAATGAACATATTGCATATTTTTGGGCCACCCTGTATGTACTATATATGCATAATAATGTCCTACAGCACTGTATGTATATTTGTCATTCTAATTCAGTTAGCCGTGAAATGATGTCACAATGTCGATCAATATAAATATTTGAGAACTAGATTTTTGTAGAATTTCTTGCAACTTTATTATTATATGTATTCTGAACTAGCTGACCATTAAAACGTTTAATTAAAAAATGGCATTGTGTCATTGATCTGCTTTCGATACCCGAATATTTTCTTTTAATTACAATTTTTGATTAAAAATCATAAACTTTGATATATTCAAGATGCTTCTGTATTTACTCTGATTGGTACATTCTAACCTAATCTTAAAATATGCCTTATTTTGACGTTTATTGCATTACCTTGACCATTGAATCTTTGATTAAAAATCACAAACTTGCATATATTCAAGATGTTTCTGTATTTACTCTGAATGGTACATTCTAACCTAACCTTAAAATATGCCTTATTTTGACGTTTATTGCGTTACCTTGTATTGTAATCATATCGGTATGAACGAAAAAATTAAAAGCAGCTTTTTAATCACAGAATACTTGAATGCTAATTAAATATTTTCAAAAGAGACAAGTTACGAATTAAATGCAATGGTGCTCTAAAAAATACTTTTTATTTTGAGCACATGTATGGCACAGTACCTGCATAAGTTTCGTTCTCCATTTTTTATTACCTTTCAGAAATGCCGAAAAAAGCAACCAGGTGTTTCGAGAATTACGTCTCATAATGTAATGAAACTCAATGAATGAATCCATGGAAAGGCATCAGAAAACAAATATTTTCTTAAAATGAGGTACTGACCAAAAGTGCAGACATGTTTTAGTAGACACTTTATACGAACTTACAAATATTAAAATAAAAAGTTCATTTATTTAAACTCTAATTATGATGTAATTGTGATAGTACTCCAAATATTTTTAGTAAAAAAACTCGGGACAATTGTGATAAAATTCTTTGATAATGCCCGTTGGCCGAAACAATTAGGATTTTTTTACTAGATCTAGGTACCTATTGTTGAAACGTTTCTTTATTTCTTATTGAGAATATTTAACGTGCTTAATCATAACTGCACCACAATGAATTGAGAGCACATTTTTTTATTGACATTGTAGCTGTTTCTTTCGTTCTATCATTTTGCAGTCATTATTATTACGAAACACACTTTCTGTTATTTTAGTAATAATGTTCGTATAATGGGTTCACTAACAAAAAAATAACCCCATTTTTAACCCATGGATAGCTACACTTATTGAGAAAATTTGTTTTCCGATGATACTTTTCTATAAATTATGTTTGGATTCTGCATTAATAAAATCTAGTACAATTTAGAAATTGTAAAACTCAGCTAGTTTGCCTTTTCTTAGTTTTTGATTCTCACATAAAAATTATTAATTATTATTTGATTCCATGCTAGATGGCAGACTTAGTTAATTTGGTCAATATTCAGAACTTGGTATGTTTGCAAACCAAGACAGTAGTGACTTGGTACATGGCACAAATCTTGAAAAACCAGTACATATACCAAGAATTTCGCTGCTTACTGTCCAATCTTGGACTACTGGTTACGTCTAGTTATTAATAATTGACTAGCTTGACTCACCGTATATACATTTTACGGCTGTTTTAATCAATAGAGCGTTCCTCACAGTTTATCACAGTTTCATATTCGTGAATTTACAATTACGAATAAAACATTTTGTGTGCCAATATAAAAAAAGGGTTACGAAAATATCAACGAGAAAGTATCCTTAGGGGCAATCCATAAAATACGTTACTCGGAATTTTACCTTCTTGGACTTCTCCCCGTTTGACGTTACACAATCAGTGACCCTCCTAATAAATATTACTTCACAAAAATTGACCCCACCCCAAACGATTTCTTGTGGTTAAAAATAGCATATCTCTACCGTAATGAAGAATTTTAAGAACTGTCAAATTAAGAAGAAAATTAAAATAAAATTGGTCTTCACTCGATATAAAAATTGCATTTTATTTAAATTATTACCTATTTCATCGTAATACCTCTACACTCCTCGTGATTTGGTATTATGCTTTAATGTCAACGAGAAAAAAAAATAACAGTCGATGCGACATGAAGTAATGAAAAAAAAAAAAAGAAAAACGATTAAAATTGGTAATAACTGGTTGCGAGAATAATTAAGTCTTCGTAGCTACTGCTGGAAATTTATTACAATTTTACAAGCATTATCGATCTACCTAGATATAAGCTAGATACATTACAACTATACATATAGGCAATATGTAACAGTTAAATAAACTCATTGGATGTATGTAGTTATTAGTACCTACAAGTTTAAATATAATAATTACTTATTCTTCATATGGCATTTAAATATTTTATAATTGGAGTTATCTGATGATTTTTAAAATAAACAGAATAGGTAACTAATATGATCAAAATAGTTTAATGATGGCAGTTTTTTTTTATTAGACGATTAAAACTTATTAGACGATTAAAACAGTTAATAAAAATAACAAAGTGCAAATCAATCAAAAATGCAAAAAAATAGGGTGTAAAATGTAAAACCAAGCGAAAACTTACCGCCGATTTTTATTGTTTAAAAAAACCAAATAGGTATCCAAGAGTTAACACGACCCGCACAATAACTCTGTGAAACAGTTTTGAAGCTTAAATATCAGAAAGTTATAAAATAAAAAAAACATCACTAACAAATAGTATTTCCCAGGTCACAAGGATTGCAAATAATTTACGACTCACTCGCAGTTAGGTTAGAAAACAAAATCGATATTATGTACAGGAAAATGATACATAAGGACACTATAACTATATCGGATTAAATCAGCAAAATTTCATAACGGCACTTTCATTCATTCAACAGTAGATCGAAATATATTAATTGTCATAAAAAAATTGTATTTACATTGCTCATTAGCAAAACTGCAACCGACAACAATACACCTAACACACGCGCTTCCCGCAATACCAATGCGTATCTTAACTGAATTACTGCGAACTGCGCTATCACAGCAAGTGACACTTAAATGCAACGTTGCCGTTCATTGGTCTTTGGCGAATTCGTTATAGCTCTACCGCTTTGTTAAAATAGCTCACGTTTAGCACAAATCTTGCAGTCACACTGGTCTTGCTCACGATCTTTCCCGAATATGTATATAAATGTTATGAAATCTAAAGAAGGTACCTATTAATGCCATTAAAAATAAATAAAAGGTATTAAAGTAAAGGGAAGGACAGTAAAATGAAAACAAAAACCAAGAAGACCTAGCCAATCATAAAATAAAGAAAATTTTTGCGGCAGGGCCATAGCCAGAGATACGTTAGTTACTAGGGTAGACTGAGCTTGCTAAGTATTTTCAAATTTCCACACGTAATCAACATTAATTTTAGGAGGGTTAAAAAAAATCCAATTAATTAATTAATAACAATTAGAAGTTCAAAAGTTAATGTTTCAGTGTAGTCCCTTTTGTGCAACACCTATACATATGTGGAAAAGTTCGACTTTCAGCCTGCCCATATTATTTTTTAGCCTGTCCTGGTTACACAGTTTGGCTACGGCCGGTCCTAATTTGTAGTACTTATATTGTTCGTTGTTCATTAGTTTGTGTATCATTATACATTCGTAAGCCAGACTACTGTGTAAGTTACGATTTTATCAGTAGGGGTAAAAAATGAAATATTTGAAGTCCAATAAAATTATCGACATCGTAGCCTCCCTATTAAATTATGCAGTTTTTGAAAAGTTAATTTCATGTAATAAAATGTTGACCTAAGTTGCAGTTAATTTGAAAACTTTGGTATTTTGTACTATGGCTAGGCAACCAAGAAAGCAGCATAACGGCTAAACCAACATTTCAGCAGAAAATAATTTACAGCGTAAACTAATGTACTAACCAAAGTGGCGGTAACAAAGTTGATGTAATTGTTTTTTAAATGTGGGTATATTACATTTTACAATATTTCTACCCTCTTAGTGCTAAATGCAATTTTGATAATCCGACTGAATATATTTAGTTAGACGCTATTGAAAGCTGTGTTTCGTTTTTACCGTTAGCTGCCCAATCCTACCTTAAAATGCTGAATTTTAAATTGACTTCGAAGTAGGCAGCAAATATTCTTCATGTTTTAATAAGGACTCAGTAAATTAAGGCGTTACCTAGGAGGTGGCAAGGCAAAATGCTACAATTTTGGAAATTTTCAAAAATGTTGACCCCTGAAATTTTTTTAATCAATATGATAAACATTACTAAATATTATAAAATTGAAGTATTCTCATACGAAATTTTAAGGCACCCTAACCTACAATTCATCTTTTTTCTTGCCTCCCTTTAGCTACATATATGGCTGCTGACGCGACGCTTTTGTATCATAATAGTGTAGGTACAAAAAATAAATTATTTGAAAATAGAGAAAAAAAGATACTTAGCAGAGCGTGGTTTCGATCCACGGACCTCTGGGTTATGGGCCCAGCACGCTTCCACTGCGCCACTCTGCTCTTTTGCTTTCACCGTTTATCATTCAAAATAATAACCCATTATTTACAAACTTTTTAATTACAAACTAAACTGTATAAAATATATTATCACACATCATTTTTGATCCAGTTAAAACGACTTCTTATGTTTATTTCAATTTGTAAGTATATCTCTTTATGTCAATAAAAATTTTATTTTATTGCCACATTTTAAATAATAAAATACATTGAATAGAAGGTAATCAAAGTGTTTACAAAATCGTTATATTTATTATTTTAATAAGTATATATATCATCTACTATACATATGTTTATAAAAATTTTAATTTAAACATTTTGATAGTATGATAAACCTAAATTTACACTGCAGGACGCAACGGCGCCGTGGCTTAGTTGGTTAAAGCGCCTGTCTAGTAAACAGGAGATCGAGGGTTCGAATCCCTCCGGGGCCTTTTTTTTATTGTTATGTGTAAAGTATATATGTATGTACGTTACAGTTAAAACTCACTTTTGGTTAATAGTAGTTCCGAATAGTAAAAACTAGTTTTCACAAACCCCCGCTACCGGTAAGACCAGTTTTTGCTGGTCAAAACTAATGTTATTTTTTTAGTTATTGTTCTGGTAGGTCTTCTTAATCAAATCTTCATAATGCAATTAAAAAACAATTTCTTGGTAATCGTAACTATGACATTCCTCATTTTTATAGTCAATAAAGTAAATTAATAGTTTCAAAACTAACAACGACAAGCTTTTGAAAATATGATAAATAAATCATAGTCGAGACATGGGTTTAAAAAAATCATTAAAATTGGTTCAGTAGAAGTCGCGAAAACAAAAATTTTTTCAAGCTTGAACGCTGCGGCTGAGCCGCGCACATAGCTTCTCCCCCAAGCTTTCTGGGGTTATACAATCAGTTTCGAGGTGGCTTGGATTATTTTATTTTAATTTAACGAGGTTCCCCATGACTGCAAGTATTGAAAATTTATGTATTGTAAGTGCTAAAAACTAACTAAACCTTTTTTAGAAAGAAGCACCTTTCCGAGTGGTTCCAAAATGGGTTTTGAAGATTAAAATTGATTCAGTATTAGCAAAGTTATTGCATTTGTTTATAAGTAAAATATAGATTTTTCGTTTTGTTTTCACTAAATGTTTAATAAAAAATTAAGTCCACGGTTTTATATGTACGAATAATAAAACTATCTTTCCTTGTGAGTTTTTGAAGTGATTCCAACAAAAATCTAGCATACTACCTTTTCTTCCAATCCAAAATGTATACTGCCTGGACTAGGACTAAGAAACCAAAATTTATTCGCGGCTCCACTCGTGTTGATGTCCTAAATATGTGATGTCAAATATCATTGACGACCACAAGTTATTTCCAATAGCGTTAGATACTGGTTGTATGTCGAAAACTACCTGTTATGATCTCATACTAGTTCGAAAAATAAAATACGAAGAAAAAACGAATTTATTTATAATCAGAGCAAAACATCTTTACCGTCCGGTACCTGAGATCATTCTTTTTATCTTTCTTAAAACTACAATTTATTCTCATAGGTATGAGTCAATAATATAAACATAAACAATGCCAACCTCGACGACCAACAACGATTTTTTTTGTTTAAGGGGATTCTCCAAGTTGATTCGCTTGTTCATATAAGAAAAATTTGTATATTATTTTTTTAACACAGTTTTCTCAAGACTCTTAGTACCGAATAATGTTTTATGCTGGAGACCAATTTCTGTCAAATTCAGTGTAGTGTAGGTACTTAGAAGACTCGGTAGAGTAATATGTAAATATTATACAATTTCACTAATATTACATACAGACACGTCTGTTGGTAAATAGTTGCACCGTTTCATTTCTGGAATAACATGTTCATGACTTATATAGTGTCATTGTTAGAGTTGCGATCTTATGCAAAAAAATACCTTTTTTATTATTAGCAACAATACCGCAATATTATGGCTATCCATTTTACAAGGAAATAGTACGATTAACAATATAAAAAATTGCATATTTTGCATAAATTCATACTTTAGTGAATATTTTTAGTTTTTGTGCACAAAATGAATATTTTTTATTTTTTCAACATACAATGACACATAATCAACCCATTCATAAATTTATAACAGTTTCAAATGAGGTTTTCTCCACTAATAATGTTGCGTCCGCCACGCGTTTTTTTAACTATCATCATTTTTTCATGACAAATTATCCGTTTTCGTTACGATCATTTAAAATTGCTTACAATTTCTATACAATTGTTAAGATAGCACACTATTGGAAACCTTTTATAGTCATGTCGTAACTAATTCCGCTATTCATAAATTTCATGTCTAATAATTTCGAAAGTGCTTATTTATTGCTTTATTGTTCTATTCATGCCCTTCGACGAACGTCAATTTTTCTTACTACAACTTTTGCTTGTATGTGTCCTTTTTTTATATCGCCTTTCCTATTATTTTTTAATAGTATTAAACTGCCTCCGCCCACTATTCCCAAAATTTGATTTCGCTTATCTCGGCCGCACGTTTTTCCCCTCCTGGCTTCTCAAATGAGATAACAAATAGTGGGCTAAAGAAAAGTTTTCGTTAAAAAGAAGAGACATTAATCTGATCGGTACGACAACGCACACTTCACTCGCCAATTGCCAGACTTATCAAATTTATTGTGTAAACTATATCGATATCGATCGATATTAAATAAATTAAGCTATTTAGTGTTGATACAATTATTAGACTATCATTATTAATTCGACAAATCTATAATCAAACGTAAACCTAATGAAAGAAAAACACCTATATTCCGGCAATTCGTAGTATAGGAATACAAACAGATAAGTTGATAAGTGAAATTTACCTGGTAATTGTGAGGTGTCCATTATCGCTTAACATGATTGTTATTGACCGTTGGTTCTTGCCCTTTGCTTGAATATAACTTATTTACCAAAAATTTAATTACTTGATCTGAGAACGTTTTCTTTACAAAAAAACTTTTATTTGGTGAAATTAAGGCAATAGATTCTTCAGGTTGCTCAGACCCTCATCTGTTTTAGATATAAGATTTCATAACGTCAATTTGTCACCTTCATAGTGAGTTACAATCTTATATCTGTGTAGATGAAAAAAATCCACAACTAATTTTGGAAAAAAAGAAGTAATGTGTATAAAATTATGTTTAAATGTTATTTAAGTTATTTTTTTGTTGTATTGCGACCGTTTCAATGATTTCCAGTGAGCAAAATTCTTCAAAAATAAAATTCACAAACTTGCACAAATGGTAAAAACGAAACATATATGTGATATGTTTTTGGGAAAAACGTGACATATTTATCTACATTTTAAAGCATCTCTTGTGCATAAAAATCCCCACCCTAGCTCATTGTAAAGGGCGGCTATTATTATTTTTGCTCGGAGCGGTTAAATTGCTCTGACGCCACGTGTCCACCCCTTCCCACAAAATCAGCTACTACGGTAGTGGAAGTGGGGCTACTTTATATATAAAGACTTTGGGAAAACA